GGGAACGGAGGGAGGATTTCTTATTGCGCACATTCTGCAGGATACGTTATTGCTGTATACAACTGTTAGCAAATGACTGAACCAAATCTCGCGCTCGCGCTGGTTGGGAAATTGTTATGCGACAAACATACCAACCTCGATCGCTCCGGCCGTCGAGCCCGCAATGATTGAGCGCAAACTGCTAGGCTGCGAGGATCCCGTTAGCGATATCTTGAGTAAGCGATTGATGCGGACTCAATTAAGAAAGAAAAAAAAGTAAAAATAAAAAATACCTTGGCCCGCTGGTCTTGTTCTTTGGAAGCCATTGGCGCAAATGATGCCCGAATGTGACGGCGTTTCTTCGAGCGGTTTTGCGTCCGGCGGGCAGTTTTGCCTTAAAAAGTCAAAGAACGTAGCCGAGAAATGCTTAAGTTCTTAAACCGTCCAGAGTTGAATCGCTCAATCTGCATATTCACGATAAAGAAAATTTCATTTACAGTCTGCTCAATCAAGAGGAGAAAAACGAACGTTCGGAGGGAAAACTTGTCATTTCTAGATTCTTTTCTAAGCACAACCATAACGCTCACGGATCCAATCTAGAACTCCTCCTCTTTTATGGGGGTTTTTTTTTTCTCGTAGTGTTGGGTATTTGGGGGACAGTTTTGACGTATTTTGATACATGACATGAAGTTCATGGGTATATTGTGTAACCGTAAGTCGAGCTCTCAGATCGAAGTGCGAACTATCCTGAGCTGACTCGGCTCAAACGTTAACAAAGCGAGTGACGGGGGGTACAGGAGTTTTGATAACGAAACTGTCAAAATGCATGCAGAGAGTTGGCGAGGGTGTTGGTATTTCTGGAGTAAGGAATATGGGATAGAACAAAGGCCGTGAATCAGAGAATAGGAATAAAACAAACAACACCACCACCACCAAGGAAGGCAGGGAATAACAGTATGCGACGACAATTTGACCCGGGGGTGTTGAACACGTCGACAAGTCATGTTTGGCGCCAGCAATGTGAAACGCTCCCTCCTGCAAAATATGTTCGATAAAGCGTCACGTCTCGAACGGTAAAGAACGCCTGAGAGCACCTGAAAACACCGGACCAGACAGAAACCACAAGCCCAACCCAGTACCATCAACCTGAACGCCATCTCTAAGGGATGGATAAAGGAAAAAGAAAAGGAAGAATGTGGGGAAGGGAAAAAGGAAAAGTCTCAATCATGAACGATCAAATATCCGGAGAACCTCCATGCTTGTATCATATGAAGCCCGGGATATCGAGCGAAGAGAGGTATAAAAGTGGATAACATCTAAAACATATGGTACAAACATGGTAACGCAACCAACCGTAATTCATCATCTGGCTGCCATAGCAACTTCCAACGTAAAATGTAAAAGAAAAGAATCGACGTTGAATCTTGGATCGCGAGAGAACCGCCAAAGTATAGACACCCAGAGTGCGTGATTACGAAGCTGGCGTTGGCTGCGGCTTGGTACCGTCATGAGCATGAGGGTTCACAGGTCGGTGGTTGTCGTGTCCACCGCCTCGGCGTTGACCTTGACCCCCGCGACCGCGATAAGCTCCCCTTCCACGACCTGCGTTGTTATAACGGCCACCGGGTTGCTGGCGGTAGGCCTGGTGCTCAGCGCCGCGATATCCCTCTGGTTGCTGTCCCTGTGGTCCCGAAGTTATGGGGCGTGGGATGGTATCGGGCGAATCGTAGACGTAGAGTTTCTTGTCGATGGATTGAGGTATAGGCTGGATTTCAGTGCCAAGCTCTTGCTCAATCTTGTAAAGATTGAATCGATCTTCCCAGTTGATCAGATTGATTGCCAGACCCAAATGTCCAAAACGTCCAGATCGGCCAATACGATGAAGATATGTCTCGGCATTTTTGGGGAAGTCGAAGTTGATAACAACATTCACCGCCTGAATATCGATACCACGAGTCAACAAATCAGAGCAGACAAGATTACGGCAAACGCCGTTACGGAAGTCATGGAAAACACGGTTTCTGTTGTGTTGAAGCATGCGGGCGTGGGAATAGAAGCAGGAATAGCCAAGCTCCGTAATCTTCTTTGCTAGCAACTCCACACGGTTGGTTGAATTGCAGAAGATGATGGACTGGTTGATTTGGAGTTTCGAGAATAGCGTGTTGAGACAGTGGACTTTTTGTTTTTCTTCCACAAATGCGTAGTATTGCGTGATACCCCGGAGGGTAAGTTCGTCCATCAAATTGATCTCATAAGGGTTGCGCATGTGTTTATCCTATAAACCACCGTCAAAGCTGCACGGGAATATACGATTTAGATAGACAACACACCTTGAAAGACTTGACGATCATAGGAAACGTAGCACTGAACAACATGACCTGACGATCCTTCGGGTGAAACGAGAGAAGTTGTTCAATGACAGGAGTAAATTCGGGAGAAAGGAGCTTGTCGGCTTCATCCATGACGAATGTTGGGCATTCTGACAGATCAGCAACGCCTTTGCTTGCCAGATCAAGCACTCTGCCAGGTGTTCCGACAATGATGTGCACCGTATCATTTAGACGAATGATATCGTCCATTAACCCGGTACCGCCAGTAGTGACCATAACGTTGATACCGAGATGTTTCCCAAGAGTCTTGCAAACCTGCGAGGTTTGGAGAGCAAGCTCTCTAGTAGGCACGAGGATAAGAGCCTGTGTCTTCCTGCTCTTGGGGTTTATACGTTCCAAAGTGGGGATGATAAAAGCTGCGGTCTTTCCAGTACCGTTCTTCGCTCGCGCAAGGATATCGCGCCCCGTAAGCGCAACTGGTATCGTTTCTTCTTGAATGGGGGATGGCTTCTCAAAACCTGCCTCAAAAATTCCCATCATCAACTCCCTCTTGATATAAAAATCTTCAAATTCGAGGCCCTTCGTCGCGGTGACATCCTGTTGTTGCAGATTAGCACTAGCAAGCACAGAGCCTTGCGAATAATATCAAAGTCGAACCTCAGTCTGCGTTCGGTTATCCTTTGCGGGGATCTTCAATTGGTCCTTCCATGTTCCTTCCGTCTCCCTAAATAGAAAGTTGCTAATTGAGCGAGTGAAGAATGAAGAAGTAGCAGGCGTGTCAGATCATACCCTAGCTTTGTATTGCTAAGTTGTGATGTAACTGCGTCAACCATTGTGAGGCTTGGTGATGCTGATAAATGCACAATCGAGAGTAGCTTTAGAAAAGAATCAAAGTTGTAACAGATCGTTCGGCGTGAAAGAAGTTCGTAGGGATTGAGTCTCGGTCAAACAAGGAGTTCGGCAGGACCTGGCGCGACCTTCAGTAAAGCAGGGATGAACTAATCAATGTTCCGCGTCCTGCAAAGAGAGCATTGCGTTAGAATGGAACTCCCATGGGACAGACCCTCTGCTGGCATGATGAGGTGGATGGTGGGGGTAGATGTGAGATATCGCACAACTGATCTCTCGACTTACGATGAATCAGTAGTAGTAGTAGTAGGTAGAGGCAAAGATCTCAAATATCAAAGGCCTTGAGATGTACCTTGGCTTTGGATTGGATATTGATTGTCGACTTTGACGGTTTAGCACACCAAACTTGAAGATATGGACGGCGATGGGTATGGGACGAGTGAAAACTGCGCGGTCAGAGTTGGATAGCAGATGGCGTTGGATTTCTCGTCGCTATTGTTTCTGCAGGAGGAGATCAAGTTATGGCTGAAGGTGTATGCCGGTGTTTAGCAGTTAGCTCTGGTTAGATTTTTTTTGGTTGGTGGGATGAGAATGAGAGGTAACAATTTAATATCGATGAATATTGAAGTCTGAAATGGGAATTCCCACAAGAATGGAGAAAGCTCGGGCGGACATTCACCAATCACAGCCCGCGTCCGGGCGGGGACAGCGTGTTTCCTTTCGGGACTAGCTCCTCTCCAATCTACTCTGCGTTTCTCTACTTGGTATATATTTCTGGCAATGGTGACTGTATATGTACACGGTGAAGACGCTCTCCCTCATTTGCTGTTGATTCCTTGGATCCACCTCATCTCGTAGTACCCTGTAATTGAACATCCAGGGTGTAGTATGTACAAAGCATGGCAGATACTCGGTGGTAAAGCTCACTAGTTACTAAGTATTGAAATCGCTTTTATTGAAGGCATCGTTCCCTCGTTATTCAAGTTTGACGGAATGTCAATGTACTTTGTCCTCTCTCTGGCTCGGCAAGTCTGAGGTGAAAATAGGTACTTAGCGACCATCACATCAAACAAAAGAAAGAGAGAAAAAAAAAAAAGGACCCGTGATTGTGTCAAGACTTACTCCTTTACGCGGACGTCGGGCGCAAGACTAATGTCTGCTCTGGATCCTGGAGTGATGAGAATAAACTGACGGCCAATTGACCTTCTGGCTGCCATCATCTGAAAACGCTGTATTAGTACCCAACAAAGAGACAACAAGATGTCTGCGCATCAAACTCACCAGCATATCTATCGACGACTTCCGATTAATTTGGTCCATGTAAACATCACTTTAGGGTCAAATGTCAATTATACCACGCTTTTATTTCCCTTCTGAAACTTTGCGGTGCACTCACAACTCATCGAGACAGCGAATAGGCGATCCCATGGCTTCCCAGAGTGACAACAGAAGACAGATTTGAGAGAAAGATTTCTCGCCGCCCGATAACGTCTTTGCACCACGGCCGGCACTGTTCTTGGTGATATCCGGTTCGACCTATGTCGTAAACTATTAGGTAGGTTGAATGGAAGAGGTTGGGGAAGTACAGCCTTACCTGTAGGTCTAACAATTTAGCCTCATGATCCGTGAGAAGCCGGCCACGGAAGCTTCTTTCACTAAGCAAGTACGTGAACTGGGCTTTGGCACGAGACGATATATGTGCTCGGAAGTTTTTCCATCGCTCGCGTCGATAATTGATTGTATGTTTGAAGATCTGCAGTTGAAGCCAAGATCAATATGGTCACCATGCGCAGAGGATATACCCAAAGATGCAATATTCCTCACCTGCTCAAGCTTCTCAAGCTCGTTGAACTGTTTTTCAGCGCTCGCTAAGGCTTTGCTTGCTTTAAGCAATTCGGCCGCTAGTTCATCTCGTGAAGCACCCATCCTAATTTTCAAGTTAGATCGTCTTCAAAATAATACGAAAGGAGCTGAAAACTGACTGTTGTTCAAAACGTTTCAAATCGCTACTAAGTTTTTCCAGCTTCTTCTCAAGGCTGCTAGGTGTTTCGCCTTCATCAATGGGAACTCGCGCAGACACGATGCTGGCCTGCTCGCAATAACTGACAACAAGCGCGACGAGCGCCTCTTTATCAGCGATCCTTGCCTCGCGAATTTGATTCAAATCCTTGACACGTTCGTATGCCGCATTTTTCTGTGCCAGAACAACTCGTCTGTGCTCTTCAACTTTGGCATACTCGTTTTCAGCAATGCGGACGTTTTCCTCAAGAGGCTGGATGTCATTTTCCTTGGCAGCTAGCTGTCGGCCATAATTCTTAAGGTTGGTTTTGATTCCTTGCATTGCAAGATTCGAATCGTTGTAAGAATTGTTGCTGAGTGTCTTTTCACCTTCGGCTTCTGCCAAAGAATTTTTCAGTGCGTCTAAGTGGCCATCTTCGACACGGTCCTTTTCAAGGGCGTCTTCAAGGTCATCGGCATGATCTTCAAGTCGCTGTGCCTCTATTTTAAGGTTATCTTCTTCATATTTGTATTGTGTTAGTGCATTTTTGCATCCCTGTAATTCAGTTCGAGCAGAGGCCACTCTTAATTCCATGTCAACCAATTGGCTCTTGAGTGCTTGTACATTTTCTTCCTGAAGCCTGTAATATCGTTACGAAATGTCTCGCTAGACAGAACTTGCAGGTGTACACACCTTATTTGAGAATCAATATCTGATCTCATGCGCGGTCTCCCAGTGTACGGGGCTATAGGGGCTTGGCTAGGCTCTCCTGTGCGCCCATATGCGAGGGTGACACCTCGGCGTCGATCTCTAGAGTCGATACATAAGCAGCGTTTCACACATCTAAGGCGCTCTCCTTCAAAGAGAGTGGCAGAAGCCTCTTCCACGTTCTGAATCAACACTATTTGCTCAATTCCGTGATTGATGATCAGCTGCCGACGAACGAGATCATCATCTATCTGAAAATTTATGTCAGCAGCATCTAGTCAATATAGTACATGTCAGGGGGTCGTACCTCGAGAACTCTAAGTATAGTATCAAAGCGTCGATCTGGCTCGTGAGCGGATGTATCAATAGCACCGTCACTACCAATGAGTATAGGGCAAACACTAGTAGATCGTTAGAGAAAGTAAAAACATCAAAGAAGCGGCAACCTTACCAATTCACTCTCTGCATGATTCTAGAGAGTATGTTCATATCCCGCTTCGAAGTGACAATGAAACTGTTGAGGGAATTGTTCAGAGACTGCTCTATGACCGCAGACCATTCAGGCTTCATGAGCCTTACATGGTGAGCAACTGGGCCAACGGGACGGCGACCGAATGAATTTTCATGGGCAATAGCAGCGAGAAGCTGAGGCATCTTGTCAGAAAAACCCGCGTTAGACTGTCCTCGATCTTTGCTAAGAGACCTGAGTAGCTTTTCCGCTTGTTCAATTTCCGATTTATGTTTGTGCACAGGTGCAATAGTCTGCTTTAGATTCTCCTCCGCCTTACGTATCGCTTCGTGGAATTTAGTTGCGCCTGCCTGATGCTGTGTATGTTTTTCAGAGGCTTCTTTGGCTTTAGCCCTCCGTTGCGCAAGCTCTTCATGCCTCTGGGCAAAATTGCCTCCATCGACGTCTGCCATTCGTCTTTCCTCTTCAGATATGTCCTGTTTGAGTTTATCTATCCGTGCCTGGGCGGATTTGACATGTTCACCAATTTGCCGTTGCTCCGCCTGAATAACACTATCAGAATGAGAAGTCATTAAGTTAGACAAAGGAAAGCTCACCTGCAAGTCATGATGATCGCTCATTTCCTTGTCCCTGAGAGCCTGTATTTCTTGTTTTTCCTCTCTTGCTCGTTCCAATGATTCTTTTGTATTATTCAATACTCCAGACGCAGTTGCGAGTTCACGCTGCGCTGCTTCGTACCTGGCATCCAAGTTACCAACATCAGACTCTGCTGCAATAATCTGGCGGTCGATTTCAGCGATATCCATGTCGATATTGTCTCGTCTCTATATGAAATAAGCTTTCAAAACGCGTATACTAGGGCAAGATGTCACTCACTTTCTCCTGCTCCTCAACTTGCGCCCAAGCCATCTGTCCTCGAATATTTCTAACACGCAGCCGAAGGTTGTTTCGCTGGTCGGAAAGCTCGAGTCTTCGTTGGGCTTTTTCCTTGTCGGCTTTGAGAATGTTGAGATCTCCTCTTCTAGCGTCAAGTTTTTCTTTGATCTGATCCACGGACTCTTCAATTAGGCGATAGTCGTGATCCAATTGTTCAAGTTGAACACCTTTCACGAAGAACTTGTACTTTTCCGCGGGGCTTGAGGAGCTAAGAAACTGGCGGGCCATGTCCTGTGAGAGGACATTCATAGGATTGTCGATCTGCAAATTAAAAAAATCCGTAATAGCGTCCAAGTCAACCTTTTTGGTTGAAACTATTTTGCCTGTTTCGTTCTTGATCTTAAAGCCACTCGACCCGCTCTTTGTGAAAGACCGCTCAACGATGATAGACTTGCCGTATTCATTGGGCATATAGGCACCATCTCCTTGGTTCTTGATCCGGACGATAATAGTTGCTGACCTGCAAGGCAACCTAAGCCAATTATTCCTCGCAAATCTCTCCATTGCAGAGAGGCATGGGTTGAAAATGAATGACCTACTCCTCTCCTTCCTTGATGAAGCTTTTAAGGCTCTGGCCTCTGTTGGTGATAGAGGCTTTGGCTCCCAAACATAGAGTGAGCGCAGTCAGAATAGCGCTTTTCCCACTTCCGTTCTTGCCAACGATGAAGTTGATGAGCGGACTGAGTTCGACGGAGAAATGCTTGTGACACATAAAATTGAAACAATCCACGCGCTCAATAATTCCATGATCGGAGGGGACATTTGACTCGTTGGTGTGGTATCTCTCTAATATGGCTTGCGTCGCCTGTTGTTCCAGTGTATCTTCGTCCTCTTCCTCAGCGTCGTAGGTCTCGAAGGACTGTAACGGCATGGCAGATTCCTCCCGTTCTTCTCCATTGCTTTCGTTGTTTTCCTCGCTCTCTGGGAAACCAGAGGTACTTTCCGACGTACGACGGCGCTTATTCTGTAGGGACATTCAATTTTGTCAGCATCTGTCTTCAAACGACAGGGGCGCGGTGGGGACAAGGTTTACGGAGTTCGTATCTGAGCTGCTGCTTGAATCGTCCTCATCAACACTTGTTTGCGCACGCTTCAGTGGTGCCATATTGCAACCACTGGCATATAGCCTAGTGATATCTCCGATCTTCTTTGCTGGGTCAACCAGCTCTGGACTCGCGTCCCGCGACTTGTCGCGTAAATTGACGGGCCGCGGAATCACGTGCAACTCGGCCTTGTTGATAGGTATTCTGATTTCGGATCGATATAAAGTAACTGGCTATTTTTACCCCTATGATCTCGACAAATCTATATATAAAGTATCCCTATGAGGTACATGTGCTGAATAAAATTCATATACTGGTTTGTTTCATAGATTCTAAGGATTATAGGAACCATTCCGTATCGAAAATTACGGAATTTACCAGTGTATTTCTTGTTATCTTGCTTGATATATTTCCTGATATAATCCCCACTATGTTCTTTGAAGGTCGGTTATGCTTCCTGTATATGCTTTTATATACGTAACGGTTGCATTAACCACCGTAATTTTACTCTCGACTGTGCATCCATTACATCAACAAACACCACAATAGCTACAAAGCTAGGGTATGCTCTGACATGCCTACTTAGGAACGTGAAGATATTGACATCAATGGGTGATGGATAACTTAACTAGCAGATACTAATTGCACAATGCCAAACCCACAATGGCGTTTTTTCTCGGTCCCTGGTTCTCACTGGTACAAATCTGGGGATTGCAAGTCTTGCTGCATTAGTAGAGGCACGTTTTGATCGAATCGCTTCATTTTCCCATGCTCGTGTGCACAACACCAACAAGTAGCCATCAGGATCGGCTCTTGTCACACCGCATTTGTTCCAGTACTCGGTTGCAAAAATAGCAGAGAATCCCCAGTCATCAAGTTACTTGCCACTATTACCAGAGCTATGACGTTACAAAGATGTGCTTCTGCAAGCGATCACTGACTGTACTAAAATAAGAGTACAAATCAGCTCATCCCGCCCAATTTTCTTTTCTGTCCCCTAGGAAATGATTTGAAGTACCGGCCCAGAGTGTCTGTGTAGCCGCCCATCACGAATTTTTGAAGGTGTTCCGGGACGTCAGTTGTCTGGCTCTGGATAAAGACGAATCGCCGTGGTCTGCTTGCGATCACTTCGTCATTGTCTCCATCCATCCAATCCATAGCCGAGTTTGCTTTATAAGGCGCACCCTGTGATTGCGTTTGAGGATAGAAGCTGATGGCGTTCCCATTTTCGTACGAAAGTGTCACCCGGATTGCAAGACGGCGGCATGGGTCGGTATCTAAAGCCGCCAATGCCCATACTTTGTCATGTCGACCTTCAGCGAACTCGAATTCCACCAATGCCTTGCCTCTTTGGCCCTCCATTGGAGCATCTGTTATAACTAATCTGAGCATTGAGTGGACGAAAATGATGAATTTGGGCTTCTTTGTTTTGGGTTGTTTATTCGTTCTGCGAGCAGTCTCCTTTTTGGCTTCAGGTACTACCCAGTGACCGGGATACTCGCGCCCTGTGCGAAGACTGGCTATAGTCCGTCTGACTTGAGCACTTGATGGACCAGTACTTGACCACCGTCGGATCGAATGGCCAGATTTGGGTTTAGGTTTAGGGGCTAGAGCAACGCAAGATTGTCCCTGTTTGTTGATCGTGATGGTGAATTCTTCCACAGTTGCAGAGATCTCTTCGGCCAATTCAAGTGCTTGATCAAGATTCTCCACATTGACGCCTCCAATCTGAAAGTTTTCGTATCCCTCGTTTGCTCCATAGTTGTCTTCGGCTTCACTATTTGCTTCACTACCTTGAGATTCATACCCTTCATCGCGCGTATCAGTGGTCAAGACATGTGGTCCTTGATCACTTTTTGGCGTTGTGAGTTGGTTTGTGGGACTATTATCTTTGGCTCGAATGCCTGTTGAATTGTCTGCCCAAGTGGCTGCCGACTTGTGGTTTTCCGGGGAATTCTCTACTGATACAAGTGGTTCAACAATTGCATCTTCGGTTTCGTCCGCAGACACGCGCCGATAGAGCTCTTTTATCTCCTCAATCTGTTGCTCTGAGGCGATCCGTTTCGGCCCGCCCTTCTTTCGGGCTGCAACTGGGCCGACTGGCGTATCAGTGTTGACCCTGAATTCGACTGGGCATCGAGAGGCAAAACGTGCTAGTATTAAACAAGCATGAACAAGGGTAACCCCTTTTGATGCCAAGTCATTGATCGCTTGATCGTCTGTGAAGCCTTTTCTTGCGAGCCAGACCCGAATTGCTGGGTGTATGTTATCAGGGGTCATGGGAGCTGCACCCTTCTTCTCAGCTCCCCGAAGCCGCACAAGTCTGATGATTGCTCTTGAGTTGTCCAAGAAGTAGGGGCTAATGTGAGGAGTCTTTGTCCACCTCGTGGCAAAGTGAAATAGTCGCGTGATATGATATATTTGTTCGTCCGTACCAATAAGCACATGCAGCATTGATGTCGGACATTTCAAATAGAGACGCTGAATATTAACCCCGTCCAGTGTTTCGACGTATGCTTCAATTGTACCGTGAGACAACTTAATATTGATTCGGTAGTTCTTCAGATGCTCCGTCAAGAGAATTCCAGCCGCATTATTACCACAGAGAATAACAACTTGTAGACAACTTCGTGCAATCACGTCTTTCGTATAATTTCTGAGGAGCACGACTTCTGTTTTAGTAATTGCACTAATTGGACGACAGGCGTCGGCACTTGTATATTGACGGAAACTCCATGGCCAAGCTAAGACATTTGTCTCATTAAAACCAGACCGTCTGATCCCGTATGGTAAACCTGTTGTTTCATCCATTGTCTCCTTTCTGAAAACCTGGTCGAATATCACTCCAATCTTAGCCTCTAACGAGCCAAAGGGAATTTGTCGAGGTACATTATCTGAAAGCATGTTTTCGAGGCCGTCGCAGAGCCTGGCGAACCATTCCTCAAAATTGCCACTCTTTCGGCCAGGTGGAGTTCCTTGAACGGGGATCTTCAGTCTGCGAAGATGGTGGTTCTCTTCTGCTGCTTCTTTCATAGCCTCCACGTAGTTCTCTGAGGTAAGGACACGAGGTGTCTTGGCTGGATCCCAGCGCTTCTTTTGTTGACTGGAGCGAACAGTAGGCCATTCTTTAATATCAGAGTCCACTGACTCCTCACAAAGTATCATAAAGCTCCGCCGTACCTCTTGGCCTAATGAGACTGTCTGGTATAGCGGTGGCACGATGTTCAACCCTAGCATTGTAGAATGTTGAACATTTAATAGCTCGAAGTACTCTTGCAGTACTGTAGGAGGCAGAGACCGAAATGCCATACATAGGATCATTTCGAGGATGTTTTTCGCCAATGTAAGGAGCGTCTGATCGTAGAATTCACCTACTTGATCTGGTCCGGTTTTCCAGAGCTGGATGAAATTAGGATGGCGGTGGCCATTTCCCCTTGATGTCACATGATAGTGAAGAGTTGAGTCGTCGTCTGCGAGGTTTGCTAGGGCCATTGCGATTGGTGTTGTTGTTGGAATTGTAGTTGGACCTGTAACCCCTGCTGGGGCCCTCTTCGAGCAGCATGGGCACGCCGTACAGACAGGACAAGGCCTGGTAGTTGACTTAATGTGGCCTGGTAGGTCATTTTTTCGACAGGTCGCACAATTAAAGCGAACTTCAATGTGTCCTCGACGATAACACACCAGAAACATGCAGCAAGGCGCCATTTTCGCTCCGGTATCCTGTCAGAGTTTGCCAAAGAATGGAAGTATGACAGAAGACAAGTATGAGTTTGATGTGACGATGCCAGTCTCATGTATTGGAACTAGCTAAAGCAGAATACAGAAGCGCGTGCCTAACGAGAATAACAAGCATGAAAAAGGAAAGAAGGAAAGAAAAAACAGATGTTCGCTATCCTTGGTACGAATATCTACTCCTTTGTGCAAAATCCCTATTCCCAATACAGCACCGCTGAGGGCATCTCCAAGAATGGCACCGCCTAGGGCTTCATGCCCTTTTCTGAGATGCGGCGGGAAAGACCGTCGCGGCGCCTCAACATCTGCCTCATTGCCTCAGGCAGGCTAACCCTTCGGTCCGACTATCACACTTGGAAACAAATGATAAAAATGTATTGATGTGTCTGTGTAGAGGACGAACGAGTTGACTGATTGTTGCTTGTAATTGGTGCCGACTTCAATGAAAAAAAGATTCGAGGAATTAGGTGGGATTATATATTAGGGCTGCTGGCTCTGAATCCGGAATAAGTCAACAAATGGCCTTGATGTACATTTGAGACTTCCTGTCAATACCCCAGTTGCCAGCAGCCCTACCTAGATATTGTTTGTTTGTTTGAGGGGGAGTGGGCAGAGGTTTCCAATCTTTAGACTTGAATGCATTCTCGTGGCCGAAAATGGGCTTCAACTAGATTACCCTGCAACAAGGCATCCTTCATAGAAAGCGTGTTTAGATGGACTTCGGGCTTAATGGAGTTTCATCTGTACGATGTGGTCTTATAACCTGCACTACGAGGTACGCAACTTTCGGTCATCCGTGTAGGTCGATAATCAACAGATTCCATATCTACCTATGAAACGATAGATCATCTAGGATAATAAAAGAGGGATACATGATATTAGTACTAGTCTAAATGTGACAGTCGCCTGGAAAGTCCAAGACAAGAATATGCTCGCGAAAGAAGACTGACAAGACTCCGAAATGAGATAAAACTTCTCTTCAGGTATCTACCGTTGCTTCATTAAGAACACGTCTTTCTATAACGTGACAACAAATTTTAGGCAAAAGCTTCTCTTCAAGTGCTCGAATCCTTGAACATTCCTGTATATTCTCTCCAGTGTATTATAATCAACAATTTGAACCTCTGAGGCTTTAGGACTATAAGACAATAATAAATAATCCTTAGCAAAGCCTGAGAAAGGAATTTCCTATAGATTAATCTGAATGCTAAGTTCTTCTTAGCATTATTAGTATAGATAAATTTGATATATTAATATATTTTTATTTAATACAGAGAGACCTTTAAGAGGGTGAGTAAGAATATAGTTAACTAGTACGGATATACGTTTCTAGTGCATCTGGCCAAGCGCGCTAGCGGTCTGGTGTATATTATTATATAGATGCAATCCTCCCGTGCTAGTAACTCGGCATTTCACCCTCCAGCTGTGGGAAAAGCCCCGTTTGCAATTTCTTGATACCAGCCATAATTTGTTCTGTGGAAAAGAATCCGGCGTACTGTACTGCGTGTGACCTGATGATCTGTAGGCAAGAATAAATAGCTAAAAAAAATTCCCATTAGGGGCTGACAAGAGTGGGATTCGAACCCACGCCTCTTGCGAGAGATGCATACTAATATATATATTGCTATATATATAGGATGTTATAGGGAGTGTGCTCCGTATAAGTAAACCTTGAAACATCCGCCATAGACCGCTCGGCCATCTTGCC